TCTCTGGATATTGCTGGCAGTGCACAACCTTCCTTGGCTTGTAGACACGTCACCCCATTCTCTGCCTCTGTTGTCACCTGGCCTTCTGTCACTGAGTCCAAGCTTGTTCTGCTCAGCACACAACAGGCCAGTAAGTTGGGAGATGAGGTGTCGGGGCGAGGAATAGTGACTTAATTTGGAAAGCCGGGGGTCTGAGAAGATGGCGGACTAATGTCCTCGAGAACCGTCTTTCCAGGCTCTGGACGCTAGTCTCTTTTATAGAACAAAGAGCGGGGAGGTGAGAAGGTGAAGTGAAAAGGCCATAAATGGTTGCATCTATCTCCCGGTTTGTGCCAGACTCAGGAGGGGATGTGTTAATTTCTTCTTCCCTGCAGCCCTTCACAGGTGGGCTGGGTCAGGTTGTTTCCTGTGAGCTGAACAAAGATATTTTAGTTTTACAGTGCGGCATGGGGGCAGGGTTCTCGGAGATGGGCCATTATGTCACTTTAAGGCAACATCCCTTTAGTGATTAACTTGTAGCAAGAGAAATAGAATACAAAGGTTAAAGTAAAAGAAACAGATCTAATATGGAGTCAGATTTGTTGTTCCCTATTACAGTTCTCCTTGTGTGTCTTCTGTCTCTATGTCCAAACTTTACTCTTCTTGTAAGAAAGGATTAGGGCCCACCTTAATCCAGTATGACCTCTTTGTAACTTGATTATTTCTGCAAAGACTCTTATTCCAAACAAGGTCGCACTCACAGGCACCCAGGGTTTAGGACTTGAATATATCTCATGGGTGTGGAGGACGCCCAGTTCTACCCATACAGGTAGGAAGCAGGGTGGAGTGCATGCTGAACAGGAAATTGTGAGCTACTTGGAAATCTTGGGACTACCTGGCAGGGGAGTGTTTTCCTACCTGGGATGGGGGTGGGTGGGTGTTGGAGATGTCCTTTCTTTTTTTTTTTTTGGTGTTTTTTTTCTTATTATTGAAGTGTAGTCGATGTACAATGTTAAGTTAATTTCAGGTGTATAGCAAAGTGATTCATATATTTGTGTACATGTATATATACACATATATATACCTATTCTTTTTCAGATTCTTTTCCCATGTAGGTTATTATAAAATATTGAGTATATTTCCCTATGCTATACAGTAGGTCTTTGTTGTTTATCTATTTTATATATAGTAGTGTGTATATGCTACTCCCAAATTCTAATTTATCCCTCTCCCCATGCCCATGGAGATGTCTTATGTGGATGTTAAAGGAAAGGTTTCCCCCAGAAGACTAGAGAAATTAAAACCTTCCAGGTGGCTTGGAAATCCCTTGTTTCGGCGGGCCCTGCAGAGATAACCCTAGGTTGTGCTGCTGTGAACACACACACACACACACACATGCGCGCGCGCGCGCACACACACACACACACACACACACCTTGAAGCATGAAGCCATTGTGGCAGAGTGCTGAAATAGGCTGCTGAATTTGGAATCATAAAACCTGGATTCTCAGGCAACCTACACCACTAACAAAGTGCTAGGTCCCAAGAGCTTCAATTTCTATCTTGGTAAAATGGGATTCATAATCCGCTTATTCCAATCTGTCCTGCAGCCCAGCAGGTGGTGTGCTGAAGAGTGTAGGAATGGAAAGCTTTATCTATGGAGGTAGCTTCCGCCACATCCTAGATCTCCAGTGGGGGAAATTCACGAAGAATATTCCTACAGACCATACCACATCCCCTGTTGCTGGGTCTGGTGGACCAAATTAAAGAGAAAGGGGAGGAAAGAGAGGTTAACGTTGCATTTTCTTCTCTTTGTTTACAAAGATTCAAATTCACCACCCTCCCCCTGGGGTGTAATTTGGAGAATAGGGTAGGGATGGGGTGGGGCCATAGAGCCCCCAAGGGGCCATGTAGCAGGCAGTCATCCCTCTTTAACCTAATGAGGTATAGGAATTGGGGACGTAGTGCAAATAGACCTTATCCAGCGATATCTCATCCCGGCAGCAATTCACCAATAGATTGCCAGCTACCAGGTGTCACAGGAGCCCCAAGTTTTACTTTTGCCCTGGGCCCCATAATTTGTAAATCCAGTGCTGACATTTCAGTAAAAATACCCAGAGGGAGTCCTCTGGGTGCTAGATGCAACACAGACAAGTATATTAAAGATATTCAGAAAATGATGACTTTTCGAATAGGCTTTTAATGCCAGACGTGTGTAGTAGTGACTGAAATTCAGGTGTTTAGCAGTTTTGGAGATTTTACTTCGGCTACCCCAGCTGGCGTCCGACACATCCCAAAATTTTTCTTCTACTTGATACATCCATTTTTAATCCCTTCACATGCCTTTCTTTTTGGTGAATTGGGAGGAGAGAACACCCGTCGCTTCACGTCTTTCAGTTCCTATTTTGCATAAATCAACCAGGAATTAAGATTTAAACAATCACTTCATATCTGAGTTGTCAAATATTTCACTGTTGGGGGATATATTTGCATATCTGAAAACACATTGGCCTCTGCGTGTTTAAGGGATGCAGAGAATATCCAGAAACTTCTAGAGATGTATCCATGAGAGCAGAGGTAAGGAGGTGATTATGGGGCAAGGGGACCCAAGAAGGTAGCAAGTCCAGGTCACGAGATGAGGAAGAGGGAAGATTTCCAGACCTGACTTAGTCTGACCTCCTGGTTATCCCAGCCAACATTGACCTAGCTTGGGTTCCCCAGAAGCAGAACTCGGAACAAGAATTTGGGTATATTTGGGAGGCCATCCAGGCAGCACCAGAAGGGGAGTGGGAAAGTGCAACAGGAAAAGGGAAGAAGCTAATGCTGGGTGCTTGGTGAGCAGGCAACTGCTACAGGCAATGGGGCTGCCCCAAGGCAGTCCTGAAGGGGACCTCTGGGGGACTATAGAACATGCTCCAGAGATGTCCTACCTTAGGGGCCAGGAGGCAAGGTATTAACAAACTCCCATTAGATGTTATTTTTATGTCTACTCATGTGGTTGTTAACTTCTTGCATAAAAAGTTTGCTCAGCTCAAAGAAAACAGGCTTGTAGCCCTGTGGTTCCCAAACTGTGCACCGAGGCACCCCAGGGTGCCACAGAAAATTCACAGGAGAAGATAGGAAGATTTTACAGTTTTGAGGGAAACACGGCAACATCTATCCAACACTGTGTGAGCTTTTAGTTTGAGGCAGCTCAGTGTTATAGGTTGATTTGTGTCTCCCCACAAATTCATATGTTGAAGTCTTAACCCCCAGGACCTTAGAATGTGACCTTATTGGGTTGAATAACTCTAGTGCTGGGGAGCTCATTCTCTCTCTATGGAACATACCCATTCACGAACCTAAAAGGGAACTACTAACAGCATGCCTTGAGCCCTTGCTGGATACTAGGCTCTATACATTCATCATTTCACTTAGTCCTCCCAACTGTACAAAGTGGGCATCACCATTACTATTTATATGTAGTACATGATGAAATTGAGGCTTGCAGAGGTGAAATGACTTGACCAAGATCTCATTACCAGTAAATGACACAGCCAGGATTTGAACACAGGTCTTTTCTATTCTAGAGCCCTTTCTATTTCCAGTTCTTGCATGGCTCTGACAGGTGGGTGTTAATAACAAAAGAAAAAAGAGCTAACATTAATTGTGCACTTCCATTTTGCTAGGCGTTGTTCTTCACATGAATTACCCATTTGGTTTCATCATAGACCTATGAGATGATCATCGAGGCTGCTCCGTGGCCAAGCCAGTCACACTCCAGAACTCATGCCTTTTAAAACAGTGTTCTGCCGTGTATTTCCTCATATTGAGCCGAAACCTTCTTCCTATTCTTTGGGCTCAGACAAAACTAATGAGCTTTTCTTTGCCAAGCCTGTCCCTCAAAGCCGTATGAAGACAGCCCTTTGTTCTGCATGGGGCTGAACATTTCTCATTCTATCTTGTTTTTCTCATCCCCTCTCATCCCCAGCCCCATCTTCTGAACACAATTCAGTTTATCTGCATCCTTCTGAAAGTGCTTGCTGATGGCTTAATGCTGCCCACAAAGGAAGCAGGAAGACCCAAACTTCCTGTAAAAAGAAAGGTCAGACTCAGTCTTCGGACAATGGCAGGAAAATAACGACTTCTAAGCATCAGCACCTGGAGCTGTGTGGCTGGGCCTTTTGTAGTCTCTGGAGGGTCATCTTGCAGCAAGGCCTTCTAAAGAGAAGGTGAGGTCATCGTGCGGCTGTGGTGACATCATAATCCTCAGCAGCTCAAGGGTTAGAAATAAGAGTCAGATTGAACCAGTGTGAAATAATGCCAAGGATAAAGTGTGTAAATCAGAACACGTGCAATCAATCTGCAAGCTGGACCCGACCCCGTAGGGCTACTGGAAGGATTAAATGAGTTCATGTAAAGTGCTCAGTAGAGCACCTGGCACAGAGCGTGTGATCAGTAAATATTAGTATTAATATCTGGTGTGAAATGAACACCGCACTGCAAAAATGACTAATTCTTCCTGGGAATGTGGTGTCCCGACATAATAATAACAGTTGCCACTTAACTAGGACTCCTCACGTGCTCAGCCTTTACATAATGATCTGTTTTAATCCTTGACACCTGTGGTAAAGTTATTTTTCCCCATTTGAAAGAAATGGAAGCCCGGCTTCAGCCACATTAGGCATCTTATCCAGGGTCATGAGGCTCATTGATTAAGAGGTTGGATTTTAGAATCAAACAGGTCTGGCTTTGAATTCCAGTTCACACACTTTCTGTGTGACCCTTAAAGATGTCAATCTCTTTGTGCCTCAGTTTCCTAGTTTGTAAAAGAGGGGAAGGAAATACCTTCCTTAATGACATGCTGTGAGGACTGAGTTAATGTATGTAAAACACTTAGCACAGTACCTAGCACATTCCAAGCACTTAATTGTCATGCACACAGACGTATGTATACATTTATGTGTGTATGTATATGTGTGTGTGTGTGTGTGTGTGTGTATGAGGGATTTGAAGGATGAATAGGTGTGTGTGTCAGGTGGATAAAGAAGAGAAATCTCAGGTTAAGGTGATTGCAGGGCTGAAGGCCCACATTGATCTACCCACCCCAAGGCACAAGAAATCACTGGCGGGCTATGGCAGGACAGGGTAGTTTGGAAGGAAGGAGTCGCTTGTAGTTAGACGGAGACAAAGGGTCAAGGTCCTCAGGCCTGAGAGGAGAAACCAGAGTTTGGAGAAAGTGGCTCCCCCGGCCAGCCGCCCGCTCCCAGCCACGGACCCAACGGCTTGGGAGAGTTCGCGACCCCGCCCCCACCAAACCCAGCCAATGAGGAAGCCCTCCACGGGGCGTGGCGTTGCCAGGCGACCGAGTGGGCCCCCGGCCTTGCAGTTAGCCGCGGCTTTCGCTCCCACTCCGCGGGCGCTAAGCCTCAGGATGGGTGTCTGCGGGCCCCTCCATGGGCCCCCCTCAGACTTTGTCAGTGGAGTTTTATTTTTTTAGTTCATATTTTATTTTTGTTTCTAGAAGACAAAGATATCCCCTTCCCAAACGGGGAAAAACTCATAAAAGTTTGTGACTGTCTAAAAAGTAAGTCCAGGCTTGCCTGATTTCACCCTGCCGGGACTTCCTTATTCTGTTGGTGGGGAGCCCAGAAGACTTGCTTTCCCATTCCTCCCCAGCCAGAAACCTGTCTGGAGTCTGTGTCTTTAGCACCTGCGAGTCGGGGAGAAATTGCTGGAGCCCCTGACACCAGTGACTGCTGAGGTAGAAGATTCTGGAAGAAAACACACAGACACACACACACACACATCTTCCCTGGGGGACACAGGGAAGCCTGAAGGATTTCCAAGATGACCAAGGTACCAGCCACCAAGAAGATACAGAGTTCCCCTGCCTCGGGGGCCCTCTGGCCCTTTTATGCCTCAGATCGTCTAACACAGGTGAGTCTCCCCTCTCTCGTGAAAGCAGTCGTGTTTTCAAGACGAAAAATAGGAATTAGCCTCCAGACCAACAAGGGACAGGGGGGAAAGAAGAATTACAATGTAATTAAATTGTTGGGAAACATCCCCGTTGCTATCAGTGGTTGGTTACTCGTGAAGACTGAAAATGCCAGCCAGAACGGGGAGCTGGGCCATCCTATTAGCCAGTAATTCCAAAGTGATGGAATAAATCGGCAGTGACACTGTAGAACATCAGGAAAAAATTAAGATGAATTGTAGGTTTGCCATCGAAGAAATTATTTTCGGAGATCCGCTGGGCTTAGGGTATGTGCACATCCTTTCTCTTTGTGGAGACTACGGTGTCAGACTTTGGGGTTTGAAGCCTGACTTTGCGTCTCAGCAGTTATTGAGATTAGATAAATTGCTTAGCATCTCTGAGCCTTTATTTGCTCGTGTCTGCAAAATGAGAACAGGAACACCAACTAGGCAGAAACAGTGTGAGGAGTAAGAGACGGAAATTGTTCATGGAGATGCTGACACTTGATAATGTGTATATGGGACAAGAAATACTGTTGTTGTTTTGAAAGACAGAGAAAAATCAGTATGTGTTTAGTGTCGGAGTCAAGTTGTTTCTGTTTTTAAATGATCACAACTGGGCAGGCCTGTTATGTCTTTGTTAAGTGTGTCTTTGTTATTGTATCTGCAAACGCCCATATCACCACTAATTGGCTGAACAGTGGGAGAGGGTCAAAGGCAATTACTGGCCCACAGCGGTCCACGCACAGTGGCATGTCTTGTGGCTCAAGGTCCTGCCCTAGGAAGGAGGGCCTGGGGGGAAGTCAGGGCACGGAAGAGAAACTCACCCGTGCTTACGTGGTGGTCCAAAGCATTCCTGAGCTTCTATCGATATTGCCTAAGAATTGACACAGCTGTTTGCACCCCTCATTGCTCAGCCCTCTTAATGAGCTCACTCTTCAAGATGCAGTCTTCACGTGTCTCCTTTTGTCTCAGAAAGCTACGCGGAAGTGGGTTTTATCCAGAGCAGCCCCCTCTGGGAAAAAACTTCCCAGCATAGCAGTGGGGGAAGGGAAGGAAGGAAGGAACGAGGAATGAGGTGGAAATTTCAGGAGCAGCGATGAGTGTGAGCATGTGGGCGGTGGACCCAAGTAGCCTGGCTTGAACCTTGGATCTGCCTCTTGGCAGCCCTGTGACCTCGGGCAAGTTACGGAACTTGTCTGCTTCAGTGTTGCCGTCTGTGAAATGGGAGTATCATAATACCTGCTCGTGGGATTGCTGTGAGCCTTCAATGATATGTCCAAAACTCCTGAGAATAGCGTCTCACACAGAGTTAGCACTTCCTAGATTTTCGTTACGTGGTTTCATTCATTTAGCAAACACTTACTGAATTTCTGTTGTGTGCTCAATACCTGCTCTTGTGAAAAGCGTCACAATCCGTAGTGTGTCTGTTTGGGATGGGAAGTAAAAGAGATAAGAAACAGATTATTGTAATGCAGGATGATTAATGCTGTGCTGGGGCTGTATCATTGGGTGTGGTGGGAACGCAGAGGACAGGTAACTCAGACTCGTGTGTGGGGCGAGTGTGGGGGGAGATTGGAGAGGGAAGAGGTCATGTAGCCAAGTAAATGCAATAGAGTTTTCCATCTTGGGTTAGAGAGATTGAGGAAGGTGGAGGAAGATGCAGAGGTTGAAATGATCATCTCTTTCTTGAGAGGAGGGTAGGCAGGACTCCAGGAGGTCAAGAGATGGGAAGCTGGCTTCCAGGGGCTGTCGGATAAACAAGACCTCAGGCACAAAACTCTTGGAAATCCTGCTGCCCCCGCCTCACCGGCTAGAAAATAATGAAGACCCTAGGGTGTCCCTGGCCCACATTTGAAGTATCACGCCTTCAGAAATTGCAACTTTTTAGAGCTACCGTAAAGCGTTGATTAATCTAAAGCAGACTGACTAGAAAGTGGCCAGTCACAAGAAAATATGTAGAGATTAGCATCAACTTCTGGTGTAAATCACACTAAGAACAAACTGCAGTTTTATTGGTTTAACACACTAATACCAGTGGCGATAGTGATGATGAGGGTTGGCGTGTATTGAATATTCACCACGTGCCAGGTTCTGAGCTCAAGTCTTAACATGTGATATTTCACAACCATCCAGAACACTGTCACCTCCTCAGGTGATAGATGGCAATGCCAAGGCCCACTGAGGACAGGTCCTTTACCCAAGGACACCCAGACAGCAAGGCACAGAGCAATGGTTTGAGATCAGAGTTCTCTGGCTCGAGAGTTCAAGCCCTCCCTGCCTCACCGTGCTAAGCAGACGGTGATAGTGGTTAGCACACACCACGGGGGATGCAAAGGGAAGGTGTAAGGCGTACTCACTGGCTTCAGATAGTTTTCAGGTTTGTTGGTTGGGGGCAGGGCAGGGGTGGGGAACAGAGGAATGCCACATAAAAAGAGAGTAACAAAGGTCAGGCAGCCAGGTAAATGTCCAGTGAGGAGTGATCCGAGGAAGGATCTGGCTTCTAGAGGAGGAAGGTGAGGCCAGCTGGGCTACGTGGTAATGCCACTTCCTGTGAGTCCACCGTGCGCTGGTGTAATAGGTGACCCTTGTGGGGAAACCCCCAAAGGGTTCTGCAGCCCACTGAAGCTGGCCATTTTCCTTCTCATGGGGATGGAAGTTGCTTTATCGTAACTAATGTTATGATGGGACCGTTCCTTGCACGGCATCTTCATGTGGATTTTTCGATGGAAGGAGTATAAATAATGTATGCAGATCCCCTGCTTGAATGTCTTTTGTTGAGGAAACCTTCTAGCCTGCCCTAAGTCAGGCTCCCTAATCTGTTTAGGGAGTTCCTTTTCCCTTTGTTGCCCAAGGAAGCAAAAGAGAAATCTAATGGGATTAGCCATAGGGGAGGGAGGGAGCAGGGCATGTGTAGATTATCATGGACCCACATTTTCTTCTTTAGAAGAGACTAAAAAAGAGAGGGGCACTTAGAACACCCCCTCCATGTTCTAGAATGGAAATGCGGGAACGGCGTTTGGCAAAAACTCTAAAGGTGTGGAATCCTTTACAGAAGCTCTGTCTCTTGGTGGCAGAGAGGAAAGAAGCATCCTTAGTTTGGGCAGATCCTGAAACAGCCAGGAACTAGACTGGGTGCTTTGGTGATATCCTAGCTTAGTGATTAAAAGAGGAGGTTCACAAAAATTATTTTTTTTAATAAAGGGACTTCCCTGGTGACACAGTGGTTAAGAATCCGCCTGCCGATGCAGGGGACACGGGTTCGATCCCTGGTCTGGGAAGATCCCACATGCCTCGGAGCAGCTAAGCCCGTGAGCCACAACTGCTGAGCCCACGTGCCACAACTACTGAAGCCCGTGCGTCTAGAGCCTGTGCTCCGCAACAAGAGAAGCCACCACAGTGAGAAGCCGGCACACCACAACAAAGAGTAGCCTCCGCTCGCCGCAACTAGAGAAAGACCGCACGCAGCAACGAAGACCCAATGCAGACAAAAATAAATTAATTAATTAAAAAAAAAAAGATTCTTCAGCAAACAACATGGGTTCAGACCCCCAACTCTGACACTCAGCTATGTGGGGGACCTTGAGCAAATCAGTGCCTCTCTGTGCCTCAGTTTCCTCCTCTGTGAAACAGTCACATTGTGTTTTATCTAAGACATCTTCCGTTTCAAGAGGCATCACAATATTGTGTGAGCGCCACTAAGAAAGAAAACTCTACTGATTAAACTAGGACCTACTTTCAATTATAAGAAGCGCCCCAGTTTCAGAGATGTTGAAACGGGGAAAGAAAATGTTCATCTTAGAATGGATGAAATCCAGCTAAAAATGCTTCTGTCTCATAGGGTTCTGTGGGGATTAGGTGAGTTAATATGAGTAAAGCTCTTAGAACAGGGCCTGGCCCAGAGTAAATACAATGAAATGTTAGCCATTATGACATGGTGTGGTTTGATCTTTTAATTGACTCTGTGAAAGAGGTGTAGTTATTACCCCCTTTTGCATCTGAGTAGACTGAGGCTTGAAGCGTGCCAGGGTCTAGTTCTCTGCTGAGAGTTAAGTTGGCAGGTTCAGGGAGAAGGGGGAAAGCTATGCAGAGTCCCGTGTACGGAGAAGACCTTGGCCTGAGCATCACTGACCCCTGTCCCCTACCATCCACCCTATCGCCCCACTGCCACCACCCCTATGGTGAGAATGGAGTTACTCAGAGTTCAGCCCCCTATCCAGCTGGTCTGCCCGGAATCAGAAAAAGAAAGGTTTCCCCCAACAAGAGAAACCTCGACTCCCAGCACAATACACGTCACCGCCAACATGAAACGATGTTCTTCCTTGTCCAGATAGGAGAGCTTGGGGCCTGAAGATGTAAGTGGTGAGTCATTGGTCCTTGTTCGAAGTGGGCTCCGTGCTGGGTAATTTCTCTGGCCTCTAATCACGGAGACTGCACCCCACCCTGCACTGAATCAATGATTACCTTGGAATATAAAATAAAATAAAAGATCTGACAACCACTTGAGATTCAGTTCTGAAGAATCCCAGCCAGCTGCACCTTCATTTTTATTATAACTAGTGACTCAGGCCAGGAAAATAGTAACGAGCCCTTTTCTCTGTCCAAGAGCTTCTTCTGGCTCCATTGTTACTGCATTGAGACAATTGCAGAATTTAAGCTGTTGCTTTGTTTTGTTTTGTCTTCTTTACGCCCTGGCGCTCTGGACTGGCGATGCTTGCCTCGGCAAATCCTGCTGTGTCTAATTGCAGGCCCATGTGACAGTCGGCTCCCTCCGTGATAAGTCAGGGTGCGGGGAAGGCGTGTGTTCATTACCTCCTGACAGAGGAAGAATGATAGGCGCTTTCTTTATGCCGGACAAAATGAAGCGAGCTCTTTCACTCATCTGCGAAGAGGCAGCTGCTACGCATGGGGAGGCGAGGGCGGGGAGAAGAGTGGTAGAAGAAACACATCAGAGAGCCTAGTTG